GAAAGGAATAACTACTATTGAGATATTATTCCTTCGATGCATGAATTTTTGACGGCACTATAGTGCAGATGAATGAATTAATGAAGGATTACAAATTGGAACGGATGAAAAAAAATCCCGAAGCACTTGATGCTTACATCATAAATAAATGCTCGAACCGGATGGATATAAAGCATTTTATAGGTAAGATGAGATCAGAGGCTGTATATAACACATATTCCTATACATACATAAGCATCTAAAATGGTTTTACCGGTGTGGAAACACCTGGACCACCTATTCGGAAAATTCATCAGGGTTATACCTGCAACCCGCATCTGCCTGTCACTCCCTCTCGATTCTTCTGTCGCGTGCTCATTTTTTTCAATTTTTTTTTTTCTGTACTCCTTCCTAATATACCTTACTCAGTGTCTATGACCTCAGAGCAAGATAATCATAAGCTAGTATTTCTCTCTGAACCTAATAATTACCAGAGAAGAATTGTTATAGTGATGATGCTATTACTCTTATAAATAGTTTCAATCTATATATATATATATGTTGTGTAGTAATAATAATAATAAAATGATTAAACAATGTCATTAACTTCAACCTAATTTCTTAAAGTGGTTCAACGTTCTCTGGTATCTTTATTATCGTTAGATTCTTCATAAATAAATCTTTAGGGAGTTTATTATGTAATAAATGTAATATTTGGGTAAATAATGTACATGTTGAGTCAAGGAGGGAATTAAAATCAAATAAATTTTATAACATGTTAACATTTAATACATATTTTTATTGATCTTATTTATTTGGTGAGTTTGAAGAGAAAATTAAATTTTAAATTTAAGAGCATTTGATACAAACAATTTCAAATGATGAAAAATTAATAATTGAGTTGTTGATGCTGAGGAAAATGTCGCAGTAACTGGCCAATGTATAGGAAAATTTATTGAAAAAGGTTGTTCATCTTTACTTTACTGATAGGTTTAACTACTGGTCCTTAATTGGTCCTCTGTTGGAACATTAACTCCATATTCTGAAGTGTTATTAGTGATGTAGTTACATACATTGATAAAAAAAAATTTACTGGAAACTGGTAATAATTTTTTTTTGATAATATTAAAATTTTGAATAGTAGCAATAAATAATTCGTTTATAGAATTTTATAGTGTGTTTATGGCATTTAACATTGTAAATAATTTAAGTGTTTATTTTTTTAAACACTTTACACATCTAGATATTTTATTAATTTAGTTGAAAATGATTTAACTTGATATTTAATAAATTCACAATCAGTTTTCTGCCAATTTTAAAAGAAAATTTATGATTGAAGAACGAAAGACATGAATAAAAAATGTCATAATTAATCAAAGAATATTTTTTTTCTGTTCCAGGTAAGTTGAAGAAAAGTCTTTGAATGATTGCTCCACATTTATACTCCATTTATCACATGTAACTGAGTGAGTGTCATGTTTTCTGGCTGTCAAAGAGGTAGGTTATAGGTAATTCGAGGGTGTTCGCCCTCATGACATTGCGTATGTGTATCAGTGTGCGTAGGCGACTGCGTCATTCAAGAAGCATCGACCCGTCACCACAATTCCCTCCATCCCGCTCTCGTCACTATTCCACCTACTACACTACTACTACGACTACTACTATAACTACTCATTACTTTGTCTCACATCGCGTCCTCTTTTTCAATCTAATTTTTTCCTCTAGAGTCTCACAACTATCCACAACACCCACACTGTCTATTAGTCACGTGTGAATTAGGACATCTAGCATTTGTTATTTATTTTTTCCAACTCTCCCTTTATTTTCATTTTTCTCCAAATCATACTCAAATGCATGTACATGTTGGTGAATGTTCTATTAATCGTTCATGACTTTATGAATTAAATGCTAAGAAATGAATTTTATCCAAAAAAACAAGAGATCAGCACGTGGTGCAGTTATATTGAATCAGTACTATATATACATCAACTTGCTTGTGAATGAATTCGTTATCTACAAAATGGCCGCGACCTGAGCCATGAACCGTAGCTGCGCCGGAGGTCAATCGTGAGCATCCACCAAGCTTTACATTCCGTACATTCAATTCTCATTTTCATATGCTACATTTATTTTACATTCAAATCCTTTTTCTCGCCTTTCTATTCTGTCTATCACGTCAATAACCATTACGTATTTGTTGGTCTTGTTTAATACCCTGCTACATTGAAGGCTCCAGTTTGATGGAACATTGGATTTTTTTATTCCAACATTTTTTTCAACCTGTCACAATTTGAATTGTTTCAACAAGTCCATTACATATTATTTATCGTAATTATTCTTCTTCAGTTAAATTATAATTAATTTTATTTATTCGACAAATTTTATTACAAATAAATTTAAGAGCATTTTGTGTCATTTAATATTTAAAAATTTATGTCAATATTTTATTGTTGGATGTTGTTATTCTTTGAATTGCATTCAGTTGTTATTTAATAACATCATTCAGCTCAATAACTTTATGAATATAAAGATGTACAAGAGAAAAAAAAATTCTCACATTTACTTTCATTTTTGTTGTTTAATGTAAGCTTTCTTGTGTATGTAATTGATGGAAAGTGAATATAGAAAAGAATATTCAATCGATATTTATTGAATAATAATGAGGCAATAATAAGCTTTTGTTGGAGCAATTCACAATAAATTCATTCATCGGAATTCCAGAGATTGAAAGAAGAGCAAAGTTGAGTACGGACGAAAAACATGAGTGATAAGGAATTATTAAAAAAAGTCTTCGTCATCGTTTATATATAAAAATATATGTCATTTATTTTTTTTTTTTATTCTTCAATACACATATCAAGTTGATTTAAAAAAAAAAAGAGTGAAGAAAATCGAAGAAAAAAAAAACAGAAATGGAAGATAAATTACAATATGATTCATATATGATCGTATAGTAAATTGAATGATTTTTCCTAGAACCTTGATGTTTAGATTGAAAAATATTTTATGATTCACACACGTGAATGACGAGCAATTTTCTTACGAATTTCTGATTCTTAACGACCTTTTGCAAGTATGCGGAAGTCATGATAATTAATGTCAATCAAAAATATTTCAGGTTTATTCTTAGAAAAATGTTGTTTTTAAATATGAATTGCGAAATTTTTTGATTCTAAGAAATCTAATATAACACCTTCAATACCTTTTAGCAGTCATTCATGTTTATTTGATAATTTAAATAATTTATTTTATTATCAACATAATTTATTTTTTTTAAATCTTGGACCACAATAGGTTAACTAACAATAGACATAAAAATTGGATTAAAAAAAAATAGAAAGTCTCTCTTCTAATTAAAGATAATTCTTGCTTTTAACATTAGAAGAAAGCTTAAATACTTTTAGGCTTTTAAGAAAATTGCGAATTTTTTTTAAATTCTTTTATTTCGACCTTTGACCTCATGTTATGCACCGAGAGAGAGTGAAGAATAGTGAAAGAAAGAGAGAGAAGTGACGGCATCGAGAAACGTCGACGCCAACGCGACGGAATTCAGATCGTGGGCTATTTAAATCGTAGCGAGAGCAACTAAACGGTCGTGTAAGAAATAGCCGTTACGCCAAACGAGTGAGCTTTTAACTTGATAAAAAAATACAAATATAATTAAAATAGTAATAACAAAAATATATTTAATTGTTGCTTTAATGAAGCATTATTATTTTAATTGTTAACAAAATTGAATAATTATTATCCAATGAATGATTAAATATTTCCATTACGTCATAATAAGAAAGCAAACTTTGCAAATAATTGACGCAATCAGGCTGCATTATTTGAACGTTATCACACGATATATACATATATTTTGTAGGACATAAAATAAAATTACTAGAGACGCGTGACGTTTGTCGACACCTGAGAGAGTAGTCAGTTGCAATCGTCTTTTACGTCACACCGGCAGTCACGTGACAAATTTACGTCGTAGTACGTCGAATCAACGTGTGTGGCTGTCCTTCTCATATTGTGATAAGACAATATTAAAAAAAAATTCCTCATTGATTTTTCCTATTTCTATTTCACAATATTGCACTAATGGGGATTTAATATTTATCATACATGACAACACTTTTACAATTAGCATCACACAATGCATCATACTTAATCTTTAACAGAAAATAATTTCAGTAATTATACTTTGTTACGAAATCATCTTTTAAATTAATAACAGAAATAGAGTAGTGAGTCACAATAGAAATTTATTGTAGATAATAAGTTTTTAGAAAAGTTGTACCATTTATGTTGATAGTAAAATCAAAGTATGAGTCATTAATGAAACAATTTAATTATTTACAAGGAGGAATAATAAAATAGTGTATTACCTATATTTTATATAATCAAGAACAAAACGTTTGTTTACGTTATAAATGTCATTAGAGGAAATTAATTAATCTTATCTAAAAGTCAATATGAATTGAAAGGATTATTTATTGCATTAATTTATTTTTTATTCAGCTTCATTAGTGAGATTTGTAAAAATTTATTTCTCTCTGAAGTATAAATGAAATGGTTGGTTTTGGAAAGTTGTTATCATTGTTATTTATTTGGTTCACGAAGTAAAAATAATACAAGGACATTACTTGACCTCTTTAGCGAATATTCACAACAATTTCCTTGTGATTTTCCAAGCTCACAGGTATATTTAGATATTCAAATAACGCGCTATAATAATGCTTATTGTTAAAGCAGAAAAAGTTGGGATTCCGGGAATCGCAATGACAACCGGACGTGACGACAAACGCACTTGGCCTCCACTATAACCTTTTTCAGCCGTTCTCTTTCTTTTCCATTCACTTGTCTAATGCGCGCACGAGTATTTTATCTCACTCATGTCTTCCTTTTCCATCTCTGTTACTCTTTGAACAGCTCCACATTCTCTGTTAGTGTTATAAAAATTCGCTAGGGGGCAGTGATAGCGTTTTGGCATCACAGTTGAGCGTCTACTGAGAAGGCGCGCGCAGTCCCACGCGGACCGCGTGCGTTGAAGTTCCGACTTGGTGTTTGTTAACCCTCTTACTGTACAAATATTGCCATCTCTCTCACTCTTAATCCCTCTACATCATCACTGTCCTTGTCACACGCACTCTACACTCTGTCTTTCTATCTTATTGCCGTGTTTGTCTGTGCGTGGGAGACTTTTTGCGGCCGGCGTCTCATCCGCTGGTTCAAGAATTCCCCTGAGTAACGGCTTGATCGTCGATCGTTATCTCGACGGAGACGGGATTAAGCGCCAGGAGAGAAAGATATTCACGAGCAGCCATTTTAGTGAGAGCCAAAGGGCGAAAGGAAACTACGTCGTTGTTGGTTGTTAGTGGAGATGGATTATAAACACGAAATGTTGCGGACAAATGAACAAAAGATGTGGCAAGTGAATGAGATTATTCTATCTTCAAAACAAACTCTAATAATAATGTTGTGGGTAATGAAATGGTTCTTTGATGGATGATACTGTTGACATGTTGTACCATCATCATTTTCATCAAGAAAATTTATCAGCTCGGGGTTTTTCCGGGCTTATGTTGGTGAAACTGCGCAGTTTCGGTCGGTGCGTAGTTGAGAAAAAATGTGTATTCATATATCTGTGTATATATGGATGTATTTATGGGGAAAATGAAGACAATCCCAAATAAATTTCCCGCCTATCTTGTCAACGCACACTCCAACCTCCAAGATTTTCTAAACTGTCACGAGGGAGGAGACTTGAGGAGTTTACTTGAAACGTCCACGCGCTCTCACGATTCGGCGCGAGGCCGTACGTTATCGCAAGGCGGGAAGGAAAAAAAGTTGACGTACGTTTTGTGTGTCGTGACTCGCACTCTCTGTGTTCTATATCACAAGCCGAAGTTGTATGATTACGTAATATGTTACTTCTACCGATAAGTCTCTTTCCTCTTACGTCTCTCGAAATCATTAATGAGTCTAAACCAATTTAATGTGTGACTTTTTTTTTGGAGTCAAATAAAAGTGTTCATTTCCCGCCAAAAGATGACTTTATTGAAGATAAACTAGTGAAAGTGTGTAAAGTTGAGTTTGTCAATTATAATTATTGTTAATAAAAAAAAGAAATGATGCTTTATCGACACTTATCATAGATGCCATTCACGAAAGGGATGATAGTGAAGAGAGCGAAGGAGGGAGGGGGTATTTAATATGGCGTCTAAAAATACCGCGTGCACGTGAACAATCTTGAAGCACCTGAAACACCAGATTCCACGTGTCTTTTTTTCTGGAATTTTTTTCATCGTTTTTTGCTTTGAATTACTGCTTGAAGGTTTTAAATATTTAACGAGAGCACAAGTGTGTTGATAAAAGTGAATTTATCGTGAGAAAAACATTTTTAACTACGGCTTCATGAGTATGTGAGCTTGACCATGTGTTTAAGTTTCGAATTTTCCATGGACCGCCACGCCCGCCAAGGAGATCCTCAAAATGGAGACTGGATTGACGGCTTTGGTGTTACTTGAAAGTGTCTTGCAGTTGGTAAGACTTATTTTTGTTGAACAAATCATGGAAAAAGTATTTCCTACAGTCTTGATGGATTGTTGATGATACCTGATAAATAATAATGATAATAAAGTAGCAAATTTTTGAATATCATCAAACACATCATTGGAAAATTTTCAAGTCCATTGGCGCGCCGACATAGAACGTTAATTCGATTAACTGCCGGCGCCAAACTAGATAGTCACGAGTCCAATTTCGATAGCAGACTTAGGAAGTTGTTAGTGGGTCTGCGTGTTGCGTTTACAGGAGGCATATAAATGTGTGTACGTGTATATGATGTTCTTGAAAATGGTAATGTCATTACTTGTAGCGTATAAGCATCGAATGTGAAAGGGTGTGTTGAAGAAATGAGTAGAGTGGGTCTTGGAAAAGGGTGAGAGATGAACACCACCCCCTGAGGCAAGTTGTGATAGCTGTCGGAAGCTCTAATAGAGATTGATGATGAACGCCATTAGAAAAATCGACTCTTTTCGGAAGCTACATCATCAAGAATGTCAAATTGTGTTTTGTAATGGTGTTTTAGGGATGATAACACCCTTATTTTATACTCTATTTTATTCACATTACTAATTTCATCAATTCCATCAACAATATGCTTTAAAATACTGGATTGTATGGGTCATAAAATACTCCCTTTATCTAATCTTTGTTTATAATTTGTTAATTCATGAATATTGCGATAATGAAGTTTTTTAATTGCATTGAATTTATATAAAAAAAAAACTTTATATTTTATTTCATTGATAAATCAATTGAAAATTTTTTATTTTTACTCTAAACGTTCTTTATACATTTCTCACTTGCAAAAACATTATATATAGTTACATTTTTTGCTTGTAAATGATTCATTTTATTATTATGCAAAAATTATTTTTATTGTCACTGAAATATTTTTTTATAATCAATTAATTTTTTTAAAGTCATTAATACCTGACAAAGTTTGTAACACTGAGTAATTAAATATTCAATAAAACTAATCCGAACTTTTGTGAAATTACACAAGAGATACATTGATTAAAAATTGTAAAAGCTCCAAAATAAAACATTAATGAATAATCAATTAATGTTTACTCCCCAATTTTTCGCTCTATTGTTTTAAAAAAAATTCTCAAATAATTTGGAAGCTTTTTATTTGATTTAAATTATAAAGTATGAAGGAATGAGACCTAAAATTTTTATTGAAGCTAAATAAATAATGACAGATTTAGAAAGATGTCTGGTCAAACAATTGAAACATTGCTAACAACAAAAAATGAGTTGTTAGTAAAATGATACATAGATGGAGGCATATATTTATTTTACAATATATTTATAAACTTGGTATTTGTCCCACATTTTTCCCTTTCTCTTTCACTTGTCACAATGACTTCAAAAGTCAAAATATGTATTAATCGAAGGGATTGTTACAAGCTGAGACGCCCCTGTTGTGTCATGTGATGACTGAGTAGCTTTGTTATAACATCAAATGGTAGACTGTAAACATCCGGTTAACGATGTAAATTTAAATACATTCTTCAACCCTATAATTGATTTTATTGATCACATTCTAACAATTTTCACATTATATATTCATTTAAAATATGCTAAAAATGTTGTTTAATCTCCTCAGTATGTATTTAAATATTTTCATATAATTACTTTATTAAAACAGGGTTCTCTTTCCCACATTGCAATTATTAAATAATTTTCTCCGCTACTTAAACTTCTTTATTTTATTAAGTATGCATTTAATCAATTAAATTCCTTTTTTTAAATAAAAAGTAATGTATAATTGGTGCATTATGTTACATACTCCGGTTAATTGTTTCCTTTTGGTTTTATTCATTTTTAACTGCTTGGGTAAGAGAATGTAGTTCTTATAAAATTATAGAAGAATTTCAGAGAAGAAAAAAGAATTATATTGATAATTGATAATATTAAATGAATAATTATAATTATAAATTATTCATTTTTAAAACAAGTGAATTAAGCTGATTATAATTATTGTCATATTTACAGTTTAATTCAATTTATTATACAATGGAATATATTAACATTTATCTTAACAAAACTTGCAAGGTTTGAGTCTGGACGGGAAGTTATCAAATGAGAAAATTGTTTGAGGAAAACGAACATTTTTATTATCAATTCTAGCATTGTTCTGCTTCCCAATGGTTCTTATAATTGTGGATTATTTTAAATTGAATTTTATAACAGTTCTATACAGTCTAAAAATAAAGAAAAAAATTATTATGTTAATTTAATAATAATTCTTGATATTCTTTAAATGTTCATCTTGAAATCTATTGTTAAATTTTTTTAAAAGCTATTTTTTTCCTTATATTCCCAGCAATCAAATCTTCAAAACAATTATAATAATTCATGTTAAATTTTTATTTCCATTTACTAATCTTGATTATCATTTTCATTCATTACAATTTTGTATTTCATCATCTTTATTCAAATTTAATTAAATAAAAAATTTTTCTGTCGTGGAGATTATTAAAAAAAAAAATCTATTAGGTCAATTTAATAGATGGAATTTTTTTAAACAATTTTATATATTCTATTTAAATAAATTAATTTATTATAGCAACAGTAATGAACATGGAATATTTTTTGAAGTACAAAACTAATTCGTTTCTATAGATGGCATTGTAAATCAATAAACTAGACACCTTGAGTTTCTAATAATTTTCCATTAAATTTTTTTCTCCATCAAAGGAACCTTTGATTAAGTATATAATTGAGTAAACAAAAAAAGTAAATAAAAAAAAAGATGAAAAAAAATAGTATAAAAAAGAAGTGCGTATCAATGGCGGATCCTCTGGTTTGCAGCATCGGACTATCACACTCACCGATCGTCGTCGTTTTCTTCAGAAGATTCTTTCTCTTCTACTTCACTTCTTACTTCTTCACAACATCCTGTCCTTTTTCTCAAATTCAATTATATCCAATCTTATCGATAATCCTGAGGATAAAGTAAGATAAAAAAGGAAAAGTGGTCAAGATAGGAATTTTTTTTTCTTGACTCTCGAGATTCAACTGGCAATTGCGTCTAGAGGTTCCAATATAATAAAATTCATTTTAAGTAGATATATCTGAAATATTTGGAAGGAAAAGCGAGTTATAGAACCGTCGTCAAACGTCAATGAGTTCTGCTAAATCAACCCTTAACGAGGTTACTGAACACTTGAGATGAAAGCACAGAAAAGGGGTAAAAGGGTAGTGAGAATGTCAGCATGTGAAGGAGAAAGTGGGGATTGATTTGGGCGCGAAATTGCCCGACAAAATTAAATTTCATTTAGCCTGAGGGTAGGTGTGTCCAAAGGGCTATTCAGTCGGAAATTAAGCAAATCTACGTCAAGTATATTAATTTTAATTAATTTAATTCTTGACATTCAATGCACGAGAACTCAACTAGTGTACATTCGCTCTCTCAGTTTGCATTCAATCAAAGACAAATTTAAACTTTTTAAATTTCATGTATAGAGTTGTATGTAAGCTTCAAATTGTGTTATTTCATCCCTATATGATTGCTTTAACTCAAGTGAGTGATCATTTCAATAACTCATTATTTATTACTTGATTAAAAATTTTATTCAACACGTTCATAAATAAAATACAAATTTGAAATATTCGTAATAAAATATTTTAATCAATTTAATTGTTTATTTTAAAATTAAAATACGTAACGTTTGTCATTATACATATTTTGAAATACTCAATATAGTAATGGTTGATGCTGATAATAAAGTTTCTCTATGATGTGGTAAAATACTTTCTATAGATGATAACTTTGGAAACTAAAATAAACATCAACTTAATAATGATCATCAAATGCATTCATTAAAATATTTCTAGACTATTTTATGTAATTATTAAAATTATTTGAAAGCTTTACAGGAATTCAATACCATATTTTAGCATTTGTTACCAAAAAAAAAAAAATCTTGTTTGATGAATAATTATTTGATTGTTGGGAGAGAAATTTCCAATACATAAAAAAAAACCCAAATGAAACAGCCTTTTTATTTTGACTTCTCGTGATATCGGCATTCTTTGTCATAATTAATTCACTAGAGACTACAAAAGACGAGTTTGATCGTAGTTTCATTAGACTCAAGATTATTTAAGGGGAAAGAAACTTGTGGATTAAATATTGAATAAGGATTAGTGTGAAAAAAAGTTTTTCCATTTGAATTTTGAAAGTTGGCTGGAATGCGAGAATTCCTGTGGGACAGTAGGCAATGGAATATAAAAGAAAGAAGGGAGAAAAATGAGAGTTGAAAGAGAGAAAGAGAAAGAATCGAGGATTGTGTCCAAGTTTACAAGGGTTCCTGGAAGGTCGTCTACCTTCTCCCTCAGGCCTTCTTTCATGTGTCCCGCTTGTGATGCTTCTTTCTTCCCTTTTACTCTCACTCTTCCTACATCCCCACATCATTCGCCTTTATCTCTTCTTTTCCCAGGCGCCTCAAAGATTTTTCCCACCCTCACTTAAACTAGAAAAAAAAAATATAATAATATAAAAGATAAACAAAATAAAAAAAAAGAGAGAACAAGAAAAGAGACTAACAAAAATGTGAAACATTTATATATATATACTTGGAATACTTAGATTATTCCCAAGGGTCTGCCCCGTCTTATCAGTTATCACCTTATCTTTCTTTATATTATTGAGTAATTTTTCAAAAAGAACACTGAAATTTTATATCACTCTTTCGTAATACAATTATTCATTCTCTCCATACCAATCAATGCACATTTCAGTTTAAGACTTTTTGCTAAAGTGACGTTGAATTATTTTTTTATTCTCTATTGTATATATTTATAGTAAAAAAAATAAAATTACTCTCCAAATTTTCTGGTTATTTTTTCTTCATGTATTTATTTGATATTTGCCCCAAATAAAATTATTTTTGGGGTAGAATTTTTTATTCAATACAATTAATGTCACATGTCTATTAAATAGACCATGACTCTAGAATTTTTAAATT